ACCCAGCTTTCCCAACATCTATATAGATGGAGCACTTCAGTGGAGCTTTTTAGGTGCTTTTATCTAATAGCTGATTGAATCAGCTTTAGGTAAAAATGCCAAAAAGTCCCACTGAAGTGCCTGATCAATACAGACGCTGTGGAGCCAGCCTGAGCTAACGCACTGCTGCTTCTATTAAAGTGTGTTCTCCCCTACCTCCCCCCATGTCTGTCAGTGGTCTAAAGGGTTTTCTCAGCTTACCATCTATGAAACACAGTTAATTTAATAGTGATTCTTTTTTTCAGCTATGGCATAATTTTATTGTACTTTTAAAATTCAGAACATTTTTTTAAAGGGTCATATCCATTTATTTTGAAGAAAAAGGCAAGTTCTTTCTCCTACATAAATAGCTTTTATACAATTTTATTTTACAGACATAGATGAATGCTCAATTGGCCAATATCAGTGTGGTGGTTTTTCCCGTTGTTACAATACGCAGGGATCCTACAAGTGTAAATGTAAAGAAGGCTACAGAGGTGATGGAACAAACTGCATACGTATGTATTGCTTCACATTTTTTTGGCCTTAATACTTAAGTCAAATGCCAAACAGTGAGACTGTTTATTGGGAAAGGTGAAAAACATTGTAATGAATCCTGTGCAGTAATTTTCAGATGTAGCAGTATCAGGCTCAGTTTCACTTAAGTATGTATGAAAGACAATAGAGGACCAGCTACTGTATTCAGAATGTTATGAGTCTTAACAGGCCTTGATAAAAAATATCATTCCATGAGACTTTTTCATTAGTAAGATAACATCCAGTGAGCCCCATTTGCAGCTTCATTCTGTAGGTGACTCTAGTTGTTCCCATTATGAGGTGAAAGTGCATTAAGTAATTCAGAGCCTGGTCATGACACGTACCTCTCATGGTTTCCTTCTGTTGTAAACACTGTGTGCATTCTTATAACACAGCTTGCCCTCTTCTCCACACAGTTGTGAGAGAGCACTCAGAGAGAGAGTTTCTCTAAGAGTTCCCTAGTTTTCTTTCCCTAGCAACTGGGTGTGTCTGCAGGTGCAAATGCTGTGGGGGCGGGTTTACTTTAGAGTAATTTACCCTGGGCAGGCGTCTACACATGCAGGGATGGGGGAGCAGATTTGCTGCTCCGAGCAGCAATCTGCTCCTGCCCCATCTGGTCCTGCACCAACCCCCTGCAGCATCCAGATGGAGCTCTAGGCTCCCCCTGGGTGCTAGTCCAGTGGACTGTCAAGTACTTCCTTCAGCTATGGCTGCCCTAGAGACATGCATAATAAGGCTATATCTGTACCTGATAATATTCATGGCCCCATTCCATCCAATGTGGTGGGGAGGTCCAAAGAAGGGGAGGATGGTAAAGAGCTCAGCACCATTTGAATGATATCCCTTTTCCCATGCACTACATTCTATTTAGAACTGAGAGAATCACATAGGGAGAGAATATTCCTAATGTAAATCTTGGGTACATGATCTGGATCTTAAAGTGTGTTTTAAATTTAAATTGGCATAATACAATAATTAACTTAGTTAAAAGAATTTTCTTAGGGAGGGATGCATTTAACAACTTATCTTTTGTGCATCAAGTAATGCCCACATATAGTTATCCATTCACTGACCAACCATTCATTATGATTCACTGGATGCATCTACATGTCAGCCTATAGGAACATAGTGACGTGCTACATCACTGTACAGTGCACTATGGCGATGTAGCAATCATCTGGGTCTACACGTGATCAGCAGCTGTTGCCATAGTGGCACACTTTCCTGGTACAGTGTGTCACTATGATGACGTGGCAGCAAAATCTAACTGTGCACCACGCGCACGATGTAGTAACCACCCATGCTGTACTATGCTTTAGTACTTCCAAAAGAAAGTACTAAAGTACAGCGCCATTCCAATGTCACCATACAGTGATGTGTAGATGTGGCTACTATCTTAGATTTGAAACAATTATACATCAAATGTAGAACATTAACAGCAATAGCCCTGATTCAGTAAAGTGTATCCTTAAGTCCATCTCTACTCAGCAAAGCACTGAAACTTGCTGACATGCTTAACTGAAGTCAGGCCCAAATCAAAATGCTTTGTTCCATGCTAGTGTATTTTAAGAAATGGTGGATTTAAACATTTTGATATTTGGGAGTTATATTAATAGATGGCCAGGTGAGTTCTGAATAAAAAACAGACTTTCTCAGTGTTAGGTTACAAACGTGTGCTAAATAAGGATAGATAGGATTTGCAGTGTGACTTTGTGATTTCCATATAATCTTGATGCCTGTCAGGTGGCAAACATGTAAGACTTTGACAGATCTTGACATGCCATTTTCAAATCAGTTGAAATTCACAAGAGCACTGTTTCCTCAGGGCAATCAACAGATGTCCTTGATGATAAATCTTTTAATAGCCTTACATACTGTTGATAATGGTCTCATTTGTAGGGACTACAATTTTGTCACTTTTTGGATACAGTGATGGTAGGGCAGATTGTGAAGCAATATGGAGTATAGTGCCATTATTACATGGATGACACGCAGCTCTAAGTCATTTTTGGGGGGCCAAGATAACACTATTTCTTTGCTCTCCCAGTATTTGGCAGAGACTGTGACCTGGATGAAAACCGGTTGGCTCAGATTCAATCAGTATGAAGCAGAGTTAATGTTGATTGGCAGTAGAAAGCATTTTTGAAGAACTGGTAAAGCTTGCTGCTTCTCCTCAAAATAAAGCTGTTTGCCCACCCATGGTTAAACTGATTTTCAGTCTCAGAGTCTTGCTAGACTCTGTTCCTGGACTCCTAGATAGTAAAAACATCCTGGAACACATTTTGTGGGCTGCTGCTAAAGAAGAGATTGTGCGGCTTCTCAGATGGGGCTTTGGTTTGTGAAGTCACATCTAAGTCTCTTCTATACAGAATTGTACCTGTTTTAATTAGCTAAAATCATTAAGAAAGCTCCATGTGTCTAGACATTATTACATTTGTTTAAAACTAATTCCATTGCTTTAGTTTGAACCTCTAAATTTACCAAGGCAAACTAAGCCAGTATAAGCCAGACATAAATCACGTTAAGAGCTCTCATATGTAGGTTTGCATCAGTTTTATTAAAATGTTTTAAAATAAAATGTTTAATTACACCGTTATTCAACCGTTGTGTGTGTGTAGATCAGGCCCAACAACCATAGCAGCCTGTACCTCCAACTACACTTAAAGTTTCTTAGAATCTAGTATTGACTGTGGTTCTCCTACTTCTTGAGTTGGGCAAGATGATTCAAATACATTATAGCTGTACCCTATACTCTTCACCAGCTGTCAGTTCATTTCTGGGTGAACTTAAGGGACCTCCTGTAGTTAATGTCTACAAAGGTCTCAGTCTTTCCAGTATCTTCATTTCCATTTATCTTGAAGACTCACAAAAATGGTCATTTGTGACCCCTGCATTCAGTTGGACTACTTCAGATATATTTGCAAGGGCACTTTTCTTAGTGGCAGAACCTACTGTTTGGAATAGGATAGGCAAATTGCTTGAGGAGGAAGTCCAGACCTGGTCACTTTTGGAGCTTAATGAAAAATGCATGTTTCTGCCCCAGCTTTTCATTAATTGTGCTACCTGATTAGGCTGTCATTTCCACTGCTCATTGCTCCATACCTTAATACTACAGGCAATTGAATATATACTCCCTTTTTAGTAATATCACTCTACATTATTCCAAGCTATTCCAAGTCCCTACAAATACTATGATAAGTGGCCTTTCTAAAAGCATATGATGATAAGGTAGAAATGATTCTCAAATATTTCTCTTTAATCAGTAAAAAATCAAACAAGAACAATGATTTCAACTTTATATTAATGCACTAGGCTTTATTTTGTCAGTAGAGATATTTAGGTGCCAATTTCCTCCCATTTTCACTCTCTTTGCAGTTATTCCTAAAGTTATGATTGAACCATCAAGTCCATATAACATATTCAAAGGCAACAGTACACGTCTTAAAGGCAGCAGTGGTATGACCAATAGGGTGCCTGATAATGGAGGCACAAGACAGCCATTTAGACCACCGCATATACCTGCTGGTATTACAGCAAGGCCTGCACCCAAGCCGACAGTAAGACCTACGCCCAAGCCAACTACGCGGCCTGCACCCAAACCAACTACCAGGTTTGCACCAAAGCAGATTACAACAAGACCAGTACTGAAACCAGTAACAAGGCCTCCACCTCCACCACCGACAACATCATTGAGTACACCACCACCGGAAAGAACCCCAAGGTTAACAACGAAAGACCCTTCCCTTGTGCTTGCGGAAGCTACCTCTCCCCCTGGAATTACAGTTGACAACAGGATACAAATAGATCCGCAGAAACCAAGAGGGGATGTTTTTAGTAAGTAAATATATATGTTCTTTCTTTAAGAGGATCTCTGAATTGCATTGTCTATATTGTCTTTGGAAAATTTTCATAAACAGCTTGTAGGATATGAAATTGCAAAGGGAGACATCACAATGCAAAGAACTGATTCTTCACTGTGGGGGCCAGCATGAATAGTACGAAAAAAATTAGTTTTGGGGTAGCCTGAAATAATTTCTTGGTGAAACTAGAAACTGGGAAAAAAAAAAAAAAAACCCTGAAAGAATATTTTGGGTCATTTCAGTTCAAAACATTTCATTTCAAAATGTTGAAAGGAAGTTCTTTAACTTTTCAGAAAAAAAATTCCCCATTATTTTTCAACCAAACACATTTGCCAAATTAGTGAATAGTTTTGATCAGCCTGAACCTGTATTTTTGGCAGGTAATTTATATGTCCACAAATTTCATCCATTGTTAGACAGTAATAGCCTTTACCACTTCATTGCCTGTAGACTACTGCTGTTTAGTAATTCTGTACCATATGTTTTATTGTACTGTATTCTGATAAATTATAAACCACATAAATCCCAAGTGCCATAATAAGCACTCTCCAGTACTCGAAGATTAATAGAAGCTTTTAAATTTAAAAAAGCTTGGAAAGGGACTTTATGCCTATTGCACTTATCCAAAGTATTTTAGACAAGAGGTTTACATTTTGAGATACTGAAAGGGAAGAGTATAACATAAGGCTGTAGGAATGTGACTGTAGGAATAGAAAGAAATGCCAGTGGATGGTATGACCTAACTTTTTTGCATTGTGTGAATTATGCACTCAAGCATCCTTTTAATATTTACTGCTAACAGGAAACTTGCATTAAAAATAACACTGACGCTCATTTTATGGAATGTATCTCACAAAAATGGACTCCTGAAGAGCTCATGACACTGAAGATGCTCTTTGCATGAGGAAATATCATTTCGAGAGCTGCCCTGAAAGATAGCGCACCATTCGTGTGCCAGCTTTACTACATTCCACAGATGACACTGCTGGCACGTGCACTTATGGCATGCTTGCCAAGAAATATTCAGCACCGGTTTCATCCTTAGTACTGTAGCTGCAGTTAATTTTAGAGAGTGGGAGGGTAGGGGAAAGATCATCTCTTTTTCTTCAGCTTGATGTATGATAAAGTCACTGAAGCTAATTAGGAGGGAAAATGTTGCATTCTCAGAGCAGATGGACAAGCACTTGTGGTGGTTTTTTAGGGGAAGGCAGGGTGCTTTGACTTTATACAGTAACTTTGTTGGGTGTTTTCTTTCAAATGATTACATAGAGAAATACATCATTCTTTGAATATAGGTTTCGTTTTTCTGTTAATAGTTTATGTGCTGCAGGCAGTTTGATTAACTTATAGTAGAGATAAAAACTGAACAAGAAAGAATTCAGGAAGATAAAAAAAAGATTGTCTGTCCTCAGGCTACTCCAGAGGATTTTTTAGAACTGTTTTATGAGGTTCATTTTTCAGTTTTGAACAAGCAAGATAACTTGCTTGGCTTAAGAAACTGAATCTGAAATAAAGATGTAGATATTTCTGGTTATTTAAAAATGGGTATAGACTGTAGCTAGATGTGTTCTCTGTGTAGTTATAGCAAGCCTATAGACATACATATAGGCTCATCCAAACTTCAAATACTAAGAAGGACAACTGCAGACAGCAGTTCTTTAGCATATTAAAAGTAATGTTAAATTATATATAGCTGTAAATGTCTTCCCTAATTTCCTTTATACCATACATGCCTAGACTGGTAATATTGTCGTTTGTTCATCATCATATTTGGGGCTTAGTTCAGCTAGTGCATGTTCTGTAAAGTGAAAACTTCCTTCTGGTAGTTTCCAGACTTGAGAAACTAAATCACAGTGCTGCTGCCACAACTTTTGTCAAGTTTCTGACAGCCAGAAAGAATGGATTAAGGTGGAAAGCAACATCTCTTTACACTAACATAACCAGGAACTAACTACACTAATCTGTAGCATTCACTAGTGAATGTTTTTCTCCTAATAAGTATTTTTGAAACATCCTACATATTCTAGGGCAGAAAGATAATTTTCAATTAAATTTGTGTATTATAAAGTTTAGTGATTCCATAGAGTCTTTCCAAAAGGATCTGTTTATTTTGTACAGATCAGGATATGTAGTTCTGAATTTTCAAAAGTGCAAAATGGTTCTGTGTTTGTTTGCTTTTTGAGTCTGATCTTACATTGTTGAATCTAGAACAAAACCCAGAAATTCTGTCCAGTGTGTCTGTCAAATGTTTATGTGAGGACTCAGCAGTAGCTTTGTGGAATATATTTGTTGCCTAAAACCAGTTCTTTATTCTGTAGGACTTTCAGGCAGAGGACTATATTAAATGCACAGCTTGATCCTGAGCACCTGCTGCTGTCATTGGACTCAATAGACTACAAAGGGACTCAGTATCCCTCAGTATCAAATCCATAGACATGTGCTTTTTAATCCTATGTTATCCCTTCTCTTCATCTTTGACTAAAGATGTATTTGATTTACATCTGTCACACAGCTGTGTAGTCAAGATCCTAAATTCTGTTCGGGCTCTAGATGTGACAATTTGTATAGTACCCCGGGGTAACCCAAAGCAAAGCTGCTTTGCTGTCATTTTAATATTTTACTTTTTTGCAGCTTTATAGAAGCCACAATGTGGTAGGCAATGCCCCATCCTTAGCCACAAACAGTCCTTGTCCCAGTGAGCTTGTTTAATGAGCATTCACTTGGAATATGAAATCTGCAGCCCATTTCCTGCTGCCATGGGGAGCTTTGAGTCTGGGGAAAAGAACAGTGTGCAGGTATATAGAAAGGAAGCCACTGCATTTCCTCCTACAGGATGTTCAGAAGGAATAGCAAATCCCAACTGTTTTCAGTAGACTGGTTTGCTATGTTCATTTCTCAACCTCATTACAAACCCACAAACTTTATACGATTGCTGTTTTTAGTTCCTATATAGATGCAAAGTTTTGTCTAAGAAAGAGATACAGTACTCATCTTTTTAGTGCAACTATGACAGTTATTGAAAGCTGTCCTCCCTGTCACCCCCGAGTTTTTTCATACTCTGACATTTAAATTCCCCGACTCCACATTTTTTTGTTTTGTGTAGTGACCCAGGTACCAAGAAGTGACCCCATGCTTCAGTATGCTGTGTTCATGAATAAACTCTCCATCTCTTTCTAAAGGCTCACATTCCCTATTACACTACCTTCATCATGCTGATGACTAATCACAGACATCACTGGAGCTCCCTTCCACCAGAATAAGGGATCATATAGAATGTCAGCACCTTACAGTACTAGCATCTATGGACTCCTAGCATGCCAGTTAAAGAAACACCAGTAGTAGTGATTTGGAGATGGATTATCAGAAGAAAGGGTTTCAGTGGAGCATTATGCACAGAGGAGCTGCCAACGTTGCTGATTTATCGAGCTCTTGCCTGCTCCCACTCCTCCTGCTTGCAGCTGTACATTCTTGGGCAGCTGCAGAGCATTGTTCCCAACTTCATTTACAGTGCAACAGCCAAGTTCAAAGCCAGGCTCAAGGAGATCTTTCCCTTTCTCTGAATTGTCTCCAGCTCCTCATCCTCTGTCTCTGCCTCTTCTTTTCTTGCCTGTAAATTCCTTGTGGGCTGAAACCCACTGCAAAATACAGGGAAGATTTTACGTGCGATTGGGACCACTTCAAAGAAAGAGTACCCAGTGTACTCTCCAGGTGGGCAACAACTGGTAGCTTACATCAGTAGGCAGATACCTCCACTTCAGCAGGTCCAGGCAGAGAGCCTGACTTTGACTATGTTCAGGTTCAAATGCAGTATTTGATAATTGCTTCAGGCCAGTAGTGACATCTCTCCAAGATCCACTTGCAGTTGGACAAACAAGAATGCAGAAGGATAAGGCATGTGTAAAGCAAGACAAAACATAGTCAAACAAAAATCCATACAGCACACTGAAAGCCAGGGAGGGATTGTGAGACTACTTCTCTTTTAGGGTGTGCAGCTTTTAATTGCTGCATGGTGCTTAGACACTATAGTGACAGGTGCTTTAGTAATATGATACATCAGATGGACAGCGGTTCAAAGCTGTTCAGATATTTGAGACTGTGTATGAGACAGCTGTGGTTCTTAGGCTATTGACATTCATTTTCTTTCCATGCATAATGAAGAAACAGCTTGCCAAAAGTGGATCAAAACCTGAATCTTGTTTGTGGGTTGAGAAATTTTTTTTAAAGACCTCTGGGATATTAATCAAAAGCTTGAAATCAAGCAAGGTTGTTATAGTTTCTCCTCCTGTCACTCCCATATTAATCCCATTTGATACGGTTTATTGAACATTTAGAGACTTACAATCATTCTACATTTTTCTGCTATGGCTGATTCTCATACTACAGCATGTTTGCTAGACCACCACCCGTGACCAACCCTGGTCAATGCCCTGCACTCAAGCCCTAGAGAGAGTGGTAATTGGCCTCCGTGTCTGGCAACATTAACTTGTGGTGTTCAGAAATCACTTGGAGCCAAGGAGTCAGATGGGGGCTGCATTCTAAGTGATCACCACTGTGCAACAAAACCACCATTTCTAACTGGCTTATATTAGAGCCTCTTAAACAGGGGCAGGCAATTATTTCAGGCAGAGGACCACTTACCAAATTTAGGCAAGCTCTCGAGGGCCACATCGGTAGCCCCACCCCTTGACAGGTGGCCCACCTCCCAGTCGTTATCTTGTGATTGGAAGTCCTGCCCCCTAACCCCTGACCTTTGCCAGCAGAAGGCCCTCCCCTTACCCCCAGAAGTACTCCTTTTAGCAAGGGGTTTTGCCATCTCAGAACCAGAAAAATACCAAATTATATTCTAAAAGTTGAATGTCTACAACATTCATTAATTTGGTTTCAAAAACATTTTTGTCCTAATTCACGTGTTTGTGTAGTGTGCATGGAGGTGATGGCACCATAACTTGAAATGAAGTTTTACTCTTGTATGTT